TATATATGTAGATATATAGACACATCTAGGTATATATACACACTGGTATTTCTTTGATCTGTGCACCAACAGAGCTTACACGCAATGATACTCCAGGAGCCATAAGCAAGCACTTCCTAGTTCTTAGTTTCCAATATACTATTTTCCATTTAAAACAACCAGAGTTCCTTGTGAAAATGGCTGGGGTAGGGAAACATAAGCTTGGAACAACACAAGATGCCAAGAAAACAAGGGTCAACAAGACAAATGTAGAAGTAAACTTGAAGAAACTCCCATAGACTAAATCTGGGAAAAGTTCAGTATCCAAGTAAATGGCAGTGGTATATTCTGATTAATCTAAGAGTTCATGAGTCCATAGTGATACAAATGGCGAAGAGACTGCTCTTCCTTATAGAGAATATCAAAGCTTAAGCAGAGATGGACTCAAAAATCATTTGGCAACCAGTATAGTGATAACTGATTCAGGCAGGAATTATTAATGGACCAAAATCTGGTGACAGTTTGATGAGAAACATGGCATTATCATAGTCCCAAAGAAACCTCCTCACAAACTTCTTTTTATTAACTTCACAAAGGAGAAACCTGACAGATACTATTCTCAGGAAAAGTTAGTATCCACAGGAATGGGACGGTATGATATTTTGCATCTCCACTAATAGTAAGAATACAGAAATAGATCTGACAAAAATGTCCAACTTGAATTTAGTCATGAGTAATTATTAGATAAACCCCTTATTTCTCAAGTGTCATGGTCATGGAAAGTAAGAACTGAAAAACTAGTGCAGATTGAAAGATGTAAAAACTAAATCTACATAATCCTGCACTTAGACAACAGAGCAGAGAGAAACACCATCAGGACAATGGGCAATATTTGAAAGTAGATTAAGCATTAATATCTCCTTTTTGGATGGTCATACTATAATGACATGGGAGTGTTCAAGTTTTAAGAAAATATCACTAAAATATTTAGGGGTCATGAGGCATCATGTCTACAAGTGAATTTGAAAGGGCTCCAAATTACATTGGAACTATACCAAAGCTATGAGATATAAATGAGTATCTACGTAAGATCTGAAGTACATCATAGGGCACCCCATTTAGGATCTCCAGGTGCCCCTTGATATAGTCTAAAATTTTCCCCATGAAAATCTTGTTTTATTTAGTTGCAGGTATTTTGAATTTTTTATGCTGTTTACGAGGCCTCTCTAAAAATGATTTCATTTCCCGGCCTCCCTGGTGGCACAGGGGCACTATCAATCTATTGCCAGCCACTGCAGCATGAATTCAATTCCCAGCCAGGGAGCTGACCCACATGGCACAGCAGACCTCTCCTGTCTTATCTGTTGTTCCTCTCAGCAGTGTATTTCAGTACATTTGCCTGTTTTGCTCCCCACTCTGTCATTGGTGAATCCTCTCCCCCCTCCCCGCCCCCCCCCAGGCCTTTGGCCTACACTCTAGTTCTTGCATGCATGCATTAATACATCTTTGGAAAAAAACGTATAAAACCTTCATTTTCTAACAGTTGCTAATATACCAGAATACAAATGATTTTTGTGTACTGATCATGAATTCAGCAACCTTGAAACACGTAACTGCATAAGAATGCAGCACATCAATTGTGTTACTGAATTGTCTACAGACACTGATATATCCAAACATCAAGACAATCTCCTGTCTCTAGGAAAAGAGAAACCCAAAGAATTACAGACTATCAGTTGTCTTAAAAACACACAATGGTTGCCACTTAAAGAGATTTTTATAATGGTACAAATACTGTAACACGACGTTACCTGGGAATAGTGTAGCCACAGTACCATCTTTAAACCACCATGTGAGGTGTGGTTCTGTTTGCTTCTGAGCTCTCTAGGCAACATGCCCCTCAAAGGGACCTATTTTCTTCATCTCTGTGTCAAAAGAAACAAGCTGCCTAAGTGCACGCAAAGTAATTTTAAGTACTCATAAATTCTAATTAAGTTCTCAGCATGTTAAACAAACCTATCTTGGGACATCATGACCAACCCCTCATAAATGACTTCTCAGAAACTTGAACAATATGCTTTCTAAAAGCTCCCTGGTGGTCTGGCAGCTCTAAAAGGATTCCCCATGATTGCCCTTTCCCTTGGCTCAAATTCTTTCCATGTGTCATAAAAGAACTTCCCGAAGAATGACTGCCATACTACTGCACAGCAGGGGACAGGGTGCACTGTGGGTACTCTAAAGACAGCAACACCCCTCAGGAGATACTTGTTTATTTACGCCCCCAAGAAACCAGACAGCATCTTAAAACTGAGGGTTTAACCTGGACAAGATAGCCCTAAAAGCAGAAGAGAATCAATGGGAAAGTCTTACTTGTGAGGCCTAAGAGTGAAGGAAACAGAAACTAGTTGATAGGATACCATCTTTGGCTTGTCTCATAAAATTAAAATAAAACTAAAAGGAATCTAAAAGCATGCTTTCTAATTTGTGAAAATGGCAAATTTCATGTTACACATATTTTATGGTAACAAAAAAATTTTAAATACAATTTCTCTTGCTAAACACCATCTGATACCGAGTTGCAAAAAAAAAAAAAATGTTATAAAGAACAATAAGAAGCAGAATCTTACAGTTCTGTATTTGATATCTGATTCCAACTGTTAGATCTAGAGCATATTAATAAGCCTTAGTTTCCTTATTTGTAACTAAAGTAATATGAAATACTTACCTACCCATCAAAGGCCACTGTGAATGTGAAACTAAATTATTTATGTAGGAACTTAGCAGAGTTCATGGCACACAGAAAATGTTGGCTCTTATTTTCTTTTTAGGTTTTTTAACAAGTCCTTTATAGTTTGCACAGTGAGCATTAAAACAGGCTCTAGCACAGAAAGGTAGGTTATTTATTTCTCCCTAGTTATTAGTGCCATGTGGAACTATATAGATAAAGCTTCTCATAAAGTGTGTTCATATTGTAGTCAAGGGGTGTATAAGCCTAAATGTCGACCACTAATCAACAGTGATCATACCCAAACAGGAAACAATTTCGGAGACGCTATGAGGAACTGAAATCACTCAACAGGTAAATATATACATGTATGTATGCATGTATGTATATCAGTATATTTTCAAATCAATTATAACACGGTCATATAAAGGAATTTACTACACATAGAATTCACACATACAAAAGAGGCTATTTTATTTTTTTTGTCCCTTTTATATCCTATTTTAGGCAAAATGACCACACCCAGAAAATAGAACTTGATTAGTTCTACAAACTGGGAATTTTATAAATGAAATAGATCTGAATATCTACACCTCTCAAATTCCAAACAACGAGGCTTACTTAACTATACTCTAATAATCAACTTAAATAAAGTTTTGCATGATTCAGATGAAACATACATTGTCAATGGTTAAAAGTCTAGGTAGGAAAAGTATATAAAATTATATTCATAAATGAAAAATTTTCATACAAAAGGAATAATTTTAAAAAACAAAAACAAAACAACAAACCAAAAACAACCCAGACAAAATCAAAAGGCAATGCACTGAATTAAAAAAAATTTTTTTTGGGGGGGACATTATATAAAATATTAAAAGGTTCAGAATTGCTGAACAGCTATTAAATGTATTAAAACCATCAAAAGTGAAGTAAGGCATAATGAACTATATAACTTAGAAACAGGGGTAAGTGCATTTTCTTTGTATAATTTACTATCATGTAAAAACTGTCAACTAAAATGCAATTAAATACAGATTTGCAAGACTTTTGGGTATTGGGTAGATATTAAAAACTAAGTGAATTGTCAACTGAAAAAGGTTACATACATACCATAAAAGCAGATGTGATCAAAGATGAACTAAAACTGTATGGGGAATAAAACGATCATTCTAAAGATATTTCAGGCACTTGCATTCAGAAACATTCCTTATTTATAAATAAGCACTTAGTTTCACTTAAAAAAAAATAAAGCTGAGTTTTCCCAATTGCACCTATTAGTTGAGAATTACATCATATATTAGGGATGCATTTAAATTGATTACTTTATGGGGGAAATCCACTGAACTTTTAAAAAAGTTGAGTCCACCTATTTATTCACAACTTCAAAAAATACAGATTTAAATTTAATTCCAGTGGGGCACAGATATGGCCCTATCAAAACATTCTTCCTTTCAATATAACCAACACAGGATAAGACAATACAATGGTACGATTTGGCAAACCTATACATAAGGGGCCCTGTCAAAACGTTCTTTCACAAAGCAAACATAATACCACAAGACAACAACAAAAAGAAAAGCTGAGTTCTGATAATCTACACAAACTGTGGAATTTCATCTTCAAGGTCTTCAAACTGTTGCATGCGTTTTAGCCTCGGTCTCTGACAGGTGGGAAGCACGCCAGGCAAGCCATGCTCCTCAGAGTTCTCTCTTGGCTCACTTGTCGGCTGCATGGGACACATGGATACGTTTTCTGAGTCTGGAGTTGTTTTCAGTACAGGTGCCTGGGGAGCGTGAGATGTGCCAGGAGACGCTGCTGCAGAGGATGCTATAGGTTTCTCTTCACTGGCTCTTACACTGCCAGTGGGAGCTCGAGGCTTATAAAAGGTTGTCCAGTGCTGGGGCTGCAGCGTTCTGGGTGCTCTGACAGAGGTCAGAGGACACGAGTCAGAGGACCGTTTCTCCGACATTTGTCTTGGTGACTTGACTGGCTCTGGATATGGCTTACTGGGCTGGGTGGCACTGACTGGGTGGTCCCCACTGATCCTGATGCTTGTCACTCCTCTTTCCTGGAGGGCATTGGGCACAATCATGGCAGTTTTTGCAGCTTGGTCATCCTGTTCATATTCTTTCTCTTGAGTTTTTTTGAGAGTTTGCAGGTCAAAGTCATCAAATTTGGAACAAACAATACTATGGGCAACTTTCCTGTTAACTCCTTCAAAGGCAGTATTCTTGCAGTACTTGTCCAAGTTTATATTAGCCATATTTCTTCCATTTCTCTCATTAGGAGGGCTTGCAAGAAGTAGCAGTCTGTCTACAGGTAAACTTACAGGTCTGATCTTGATCCTTGGAGGTGGCCTCCCCACACTGTTTGTTTCCCTATCAGACTTCAGAGCAGGGGCCTTAGATGCTTTACAAACACTTTCCAGCTTGCGTGGTGCTGATTCAAGCTCCTGGTCTGAGAGCAGACGCACTTTGTGGTCTGCAAAAGGTAAAGGTTTATTTAAAAAGCAAATTTCACGGCACATAAGTGACAAGAGTCTGAGTGAGCTAAAAATGAACACCTCTCAGAAAAACAGAGGCCTGACACATATTTTTTCCAAGTTATTCTTAGTTATCTCTGCAGAGAAGTTACATATTTATAGTATAAAAGGTGTACTCTGACACAGAAACGTCAGAATGCTATCTTTTGTCACTATGATAAATGGTTATAAAATCCAACACGGGTGAATAAAAATAAAGAAAAACATTTGATGAAGTACTTTTATGTGTCATGCATGAACAAGGAGTTGCTATCCTCACAATTTCAACTGTCAGACATTAGAAAATAAACATCAGGAAAGTTAAACTAATTTACACACCAACAAAATGCAGGCGAGCCAAGACTTCTGCCTAATCATTCTGCTTTTCAGTTATAAAGATCCCATAGTGAGAGTACATTGTGTGAGATATCTTGGATGCTCTGAATATTTGATCAACTAATAAATGGACTGTGACATTCATCCTGTCAAATTCGGATGAATGATTTTATCTAAGTTAAATGTATCATTCCCTCCATTTACTCTTTCCCTCCAGACTTACTTTCTTCTCTTTACTATATGGTCTAGATCATCGTCATGTTTTCTCAAACTAGAACCCTCAGCCTTTTAAGAAGTTCTATCCCTTTTTTTTTTTTTTTTTTTGCAGCATCTGTTCTAAAAATCTCCCATTCCTAGAAAATTCCAGCCCCTCTGCTCACTCCTCCTTTGGGTAGAGGTCCGTAGACAGAAGCTTGTTAGAGTCATTGTCAGCCTCTTTTCCTCTCACCTTCCTCCCTGAGTCTGCCCCCAGCTTCTACAACTCTCGTTTGGGCTTCTCATGTCCTTCCCCCAAGTTATAGACCAGTCTAAGGTCCTGACTCTTTGTTGTTGGGATGTAAGTACCCTCTGGAGAATATTCTTAGGTTATGAGGGAAAGCTTGCAGCATAATGGACCAGTGTGTAGACTCTAAAGCCAGTTGCTAGGTTTAGCACAGGCTGGTGACTTTCACGATGGGCAAGGTAATCTCACTAAGTGAAAACATCTGCCAAAAAAAATCCCCTACACAATTTTATCTATGTTGTTGTGTGGCCTAAATAATCTAATCATGACAATGCTAAGAATTATATGGTAGATAAATAAACACTTTGAAACAACATTTATTATTTTTACTATTTTCAAATGGGTGCCTTAGTTCATCGGTTAGTGAACTGCACATTTGAAAACAGGTTCAAATCCTGACTGAATCATTTATTAGAAGCATCATTTAACCTCCTTTAGGCTGTTAGTCTACAGATAGGATGGGGTAACAATACCTACTTTATAGCAAATAGGATACAATAAGCACAGAGCTTAGCATAGAGCAGGTAATACTCTGTTTTTGATCCACTGCTTTTTTAAACCTTGTTCGGTTAGATCACTGATATTTTGTTATATATTAAATTGAACATATATGCTGCATTTTTAAAACTTACAATATTAGTTCTAGTAATTACAGAATTAATAGTAACAAATGGAAGTTTTTCCACCAGCTAGACTGCTACCAATCACTGCCAACTAAAATTACAGTGAAGAAATAAATGATTGCAGTCAGAGAAATAATGACATACACACAAATATGCTTAATACATTAAAGGCATGTGACAGATAAAAGCATTTGGAAAAAGTTCTAGGAATTTTAGGGTCTAAATTTTTTGAATTTTAGAAGCTAGTTACTCCTTATGAAGAGTTAGAACAACTCGATGACCTATAGTAACAAAAGATACTACAAAACTTGCCTTTGATGACAAATATGAAGATAAAAATTCAACAAGTACACAAAGCAAACCTATGAACTCTATGATCCTTTGATAAGAATGAACATTTTGAAAAATAACATTCATTTAAATGCAAGATATACTAAAAGACCAATTTCTTAATTCATTAGCAAAGGTCCATTTACTAATAAAGCTTTAAAATTTGTTTAAAACAATTTTTTAATACAGAAATATTGCACTAGAACATTAGGCTACAGATGTGCATCATTACGGAAGCTTCCCTTTCTAACTTTACTTCTCAACCTGACTTTTAATCATTGTTTATTGGAAGAGTGTAAAGTTAGCAAATGTGTTTTACGTGGCCACTTACCAATGATATATGCATCACATTTTTCTGATGTATTCTGCTTGCGTTCTGATTCCTCAAATGATGTAGCTGGTTCAAAAACTTTGCTTTCACCATCTGCAGCATGGATATCCTGTTGATAAAGAGAAATTTTAAACCTGAAGAAGCAAAACATGCCTCAAGATAAATGGTTCAAAGATTTTCAATTATTATCTAAGTTTCAATACAACTACAAAGTTCTAATATAATTCTATAAAGGTTAAAACTTACTTCCTTTGAAGAGAAAAATAGTGACTTCATAGAATGCTCTTGGTCTTTGTCTTCTGGGGACAACAGAGGCTTTGGAAGACAACCTTGCTCAACAGGAAGTACACCACCCGCTGTACTGCACACAACCACATCTTGGGGCTGCAGGGATCCATCAAAGATCTTCTGTGAGTAAGTAATTAGGAACTCGACCAGCCGTGCTTGATTTGAATATTCAGCAAGAGAGGAGATGGTAACAGGAGCAGCTGTGGGCCGTGGCCTAATAAGACTTGGTCCAAATATCACCCCCAAGTTTTTGGAGTTCATTTTGTTTTCTTCTGCATGATCTACAACCCTGAGAAGAAGCAAAACACAAAGCTGTATGAGATGTGTTATTAGATTTCTTTGATGGTAGTTCACTATGACGTGTGAAGGCTGGAGGACTTTTGCAGAAGTCTACGAGAAGGGTATATTTACTTGATTAACTACTGCCCATATCAAATTGTGTTTCATAGCATCAAAATACAATTTAATTAAGTAGAAGAAATTAATACAGTTTTACCAGCAAATTTTTTTTTTATTTTATAATAGTTTATTTTTGCATATTTTTGTGCATTTTTCCATCTCAGTTGCAATCCCCTTGGGTTTCCCATTACCAAATTACCCATGTGCCATCACCATAGTCCATTGAATTTCCCTCCCTCCACTGTTTTTGATTCCATTCCCCACTCTACCCCCACAAAATGTCTCTGGTATATAGCTGTTCATCATTATCATTATTTTCTCGCCTGTTCTGATTTATTCCTGACCAGCAGAAATTTTTAAAAATCCTTAAAAACTGATCTACCCTTAGTAGACAGTACATCCTCCCAGGAAACTTAAGTATCATTGTCAATTTCTCTCTCACTACTTATAGTCTTCAAGCCTCCTTGAAGGGCCTCTTTGAAGGGAGATTTGATTCTCCCTCCTAAAGATCTCTTTTTTAGTGTCACTCCCTCTGCTCTGGGCTCACTTCAAGTTTCACCTCTTTTATTTCTCTGACTATTCAAGGAGATCTGAGTTGTAGTAAAGGCCTTCCCTGCAATCCATCCTCCATACTTCAGCCAGAAAGATCTAAAAGGTAAATCCAAACAAGTTAATTTCCTGGCTCAAAATTCCTTAGTAGGCACAGAATGATAATCGTGAACTCATTTACCAAGTAGTAGGGCATTATGACACCAACAAGCTCAGTTCCTGCTGCTTGCTGTATCTTACTCTAACCAAATTATAACCGAAATGCAAAATAATCTCGTATATCTTGGTGTCTATCACCCTCTGCCTTCTGCATATTCTTTGTCACAAAACCACTACTCAGTACTTTTTTTGGCTCAAGACTACCTTTCCTATTCCTCTATTCACCAATCTCTCTTTCCCCATTTTCTTCAGCATTCTGTGCACATCTCTGGTATAATAACAAGAATGATGTAATACTACACTTGTCTGCAGATCTGCTCCCCAAGTTGACAAGCACAACAGATTTGACAGTCACTACCCTCAGCAATTATCCATTTACAAAATAAAGTTCTTACCGTTTAAGATGTACTATGAGATAATGAAGACTGTTCAAATTTGATGCTGGCAATTGTCTTAAAAGATCTTTGCTTTTCAGAAGAATTCGATTTATTTCTATACATAGGCTTGACCACTTTTTGTCCTCAGGATGATCCTTTTTTGTCTCTCGTTCTTCATTTACACGTTGGATCTCTTTTGCAAGGTCTATAAATTCTTTGTACAATCGGAATAAAATGAATGGTTCTGGAAGCTAAAGAAATAAAATTACATTAGGAATGTCACTCTGTTCATTTTTTCCTCCTGTTAATAATCAACTGACAGCCCTCCCTGGTGACTCAACAGGTTAAGGAGTAAGCACTGTAAGCTAGCAGCAGCTGCTTCAGTGCAAGTTTGATCCCCGGCACCGGAGGTGATCCACGTAGCACAGCAGAACTCTTCTGTCTCACCCGCTGCTCCCCTCAGCAGTGTACTTCATCAATCTGCCTGTTCTGCTCCCCAGTCTATCTCTGGTGAATCCTCTCTCTGCTCTGCACCTTTGGCCTATACCCCAGTTATGCATACATAAGTAAATCTTTAAAATGACTGGTTGAGCATGTCCCCTTTGAGTAACACAGTGTAAGGTCAATCCACATTTAGAAATGTCCATTTGTTTGCAACAGATGTAATCTGACAACATTGCCATAGGTTAAATAAGTTAAAAAGCAGTTAAGCAAATCTAAATCAATTAGATCACATTTAATAACTTGGATGTTTCTTATACCAATTCTTAACTGCTCCAAAGTTAGCACATCACCAACTCTTTTACCAAAATAAACCCAGGATAATGAACAAAATAAGCCAAATTAATTAGGAAAAAGGTTTTATTTGAATTTTATTGGTATAGAGGCAATAAAATGCTATAGGGTCCTTATGTTTTGCTTGGGTCAGAATGAAGATTAGACTAAGAGAATAAAGCTTATAAGAAAGATACTGTCAATATTTTATTTACCTAAATTTTAAATATAACCTGGATTGCCCTAAGTAGGTCAGAAGAAAAGTCAGTGAAACCAAGGGGTATGCCACCTAGATCTCTGTACTGGCATTACTGAGCTCAATGTTTCCAATTGTTCAATAATGCCTCTGGTTAGCTTATGTCTTATCCTACCTGTGGTGAGGTAGTACCAGTTTCTCCACTTTTCCCTGTTGGTCTCAAAGAAGGGAAGCCTTGGTATCAATTTCTACCTCCAAATGCTCTAGTATCTCAAGGCAGTCACTTAACCTGTTTGGAGCTTCAAATTTCCTATCTGGCATATGAGTAAAATGAAGGCTATTCTCTAATATCTTAAGAACTAAGTGTGGCTTCAATGCTACAGTTCTGGTCTCATAGTACTCCTCAGATGAAATGAGAGTTGATTGCATTAGATTAGAATAAATGCTGTAAAAGGAATAGAGAACCAGATTTCTTAGAAATTAAAACAATACATCAGAAATGAAGTGGTTTCCAATAGGAGTGATAGATAAAGCTGAAGAAAGTATTGAAACAAAAATTTAAAAAATCAATAAAGAACCAGTATAAGCTGTGAAGCATTCAACTATAAGTTCCACAAAGAAAGTAGGAGAGGAAATGAGTTGGAAAAATAAAAGTTCCAAGAATTGAAGAACAAATAACTAGAATCATAGAGCTTACAGAAGACCCAAAATAGTGGCTGAAAATAACCCACACCAAGGCATATCAAACAGTTAAGTTGAAAAAAAGAACAAAGGGAAGGAGGGGAGGTATATACAAGTCAGGAATGAGAAGGATTTCAGGCTTCAAAGAGAACAATAAAAACTGCCTTCAACATTCTGGAAAAAAAAAATAATGGCGATTTCAACTGAGATGAAAAAATACACAATGAAGATGATGTAAAAAATAAAACTATAATAAAATAATAATAATAATTTCCAGCCCAGAGCACTGTAACCTTTCAAATTATTCAGTCTTCCATTCCCGTTCAAGAAAGTGGAATAAAGATGTTTACAAATAAATACACTTTCAAATATTTACTTATCCCGCCTCACTCAAGGGCAGGTATAACAAAAAACAGAAAAACAAATCAAAAATAGGAACACATGGTACAGAAGACAGGTGTTGCCTCACAAAAAAGAAGAAGAGAAATATCAGGATGACAGCTATTTACCTTAAAAAAGATGTAGCTGGAGCAAGAGAACTCCAGATAGGGACATGTAGAGGACTGTTACTATCCTCTGTTACTGTCTTTTCTATTTCTGAGCACAGAAAGCAGCTGAGCTTACCCAAGATATTTTTTTCTTAACTTGGTTCATCACAACAATCTACTATTATTCCTTCAATCCCTCCATGATTTGTTGCTCTGAAGCCATGATAGTTACCGATTTCCCCCCACATAAGTGTTTTCTTTGATCATACACCTGTAAATTAACTACAGGTACAACAGTGAGGCACAGAAAGAGAAAGTATGGAGCTGTTAACTCCCTGGCCATCTTCTTTCTGCTGAACTTTCAGAACACAGCTATATCCAACAGTCCTGCCTAATGCTCCAAAATCCATGCATAACCTTACCCACTGACCCTCCCCCCCAACAGTTTTTTAAAAAATATCAATAAAGGTAAAGCAAGACCCTGACTAGACATTGATCCTCTTACTGAATCCTTTACTTAACAGTGCGAATGATGGCTTTTTCTTACACAGCTAGATTTAATCATCTTGATCAGTTTTCTAAAACTTTACACTGGTTAGGAATACATAGTAGGTATTAAAACTAGTAAGAAAAGAGAGTTAAGAAGGTAAGGAAAATACCACTGGGGTGCGGCTGGGGACAACAACTAGGGAGAGGCACACAAGTTCTTCTATTAGGTATCGTAATGTTCATGTTCTATTTCCTTAAGCTAGGTGATAGAAAACGAGTGTTTGTGTCATTATTACTTATCTTTAAACTGTTCATATATCTTACACCCCTTATTTGGCACATTAATACTTAGAAAGATATTAATATGGTCTGTGTTAATGAAAATAAATGCAAAGCAAATGTTATCAGCAAAAAGATATTTATACTTAAAGGTAGGTTTCAAGTGTAAAAACTTTACCTGTCAGGGGCCCTCCCTGATGGTGAAGTGGATTAAAGCACAGCACTGAGAAGCTAAAGCCACTTCCACAAGAGTTTGATCCCTGCCTGCCCTGGAGGTGACCACATGGCGCAGCAGACCTCTCCTGACCCACCCAGTGCTCCCCTCAGCAGTATACTTCATCGATCTGCCTGTTCTACTCTGTGTCTGCTGAATCCTCTCACCACCCCTGCACCTCTGGCCATTGTACCCCAACTCTGTATGAATAAACAAATTAAATCTTTTAAAAAAAAAAAAACTTTACCTGTCGAAGGTATAATTTCAAGACATCACAGATGTCATGTGAACTAAACTCTGAAATGTCCACCAAGTGCATTCCATTTTCCAAGGCCTGACACAACTTATCAGTTTTTATTTTGTTCCCACATACACGATAAATTCCCTTTGGAAAGAAAGGAGGAAAATTTTGTAAAATTCTTCATTATTACAAAAGGCTAAATACAGACAGACATCTAATAGATTTGACATGGCTCCTTCCACTTTTGTAAAAGTACTTTAGGAAAACACTAGGGTCAAATGAGGTCATTATTTTCCAGGTGTACCTAAATAAATTCAGTTACTTAATAAGAAATGAGAGTACTGTTTTCTTTTAGTCTCCTTATTACAATCCACACATGCATTTATATTTTTAAATCTCAAGTTAAGAGTTGCAAAGTACCTGTAGACACAAGGCTCGATTTTCAATCTCGGAGGCACATATTTTGAGTATAAAAGGAATGCCATCTGGTTCCTTTTTAGCAACTTGTGTGAATTCTGCTCCAAATAGGTGTATTTTCCCCAGAAGTTTCTGGTGACCACAAATGATGACTAAATTTTCCAAACACTTTCGGTGGCAGACAAGGAGACACTACAAAAAATGATAGTTTAAAACTAGTTAACTCAACTTAAAAATTATTTACAACTGGGCAAACTACAGCTAGAGTGTTAACATGACAAAAATGAATTTCAAAAATATTACTTGTGGCACTTGAAATACATTTTACAGCAAGATGAAATATACAATTTAAAAGGCACACTATAATTCAATTTATTAAAAATATACTTGTGGAAGTTATTAATAACTAAAACCAAACAAAATAGGATAAAACAGTGAGCATAAAGGGGCTAATGTAATTCCAGAAAGATCTTACCTCTTCACATTCAACACCTTGAAACACTACAATGCCTTCACAATCTCTACATTTTGTGGGGGATCTCAATTTGCGAAACTTGTGAGTGAGAGCTGCCTTTGACATCAATGTTTTCTTAAATGTTCCAAGGGAATTGGGTCCTTGCAACAGAAATAGATTAACATGTAAGAACTGTTAAAGATAACAGAAAAATTACACTTCATGATACTGTGTTCTGAAAAATATTTAAATGTTCATTTATTATACTTAAGCTGTAACATCAAAATAAACATCCAGTTTAGAGATTTCTTATAAGGCATAAATTTATGAAATATTTTAGCTAGAGTAAAAGTCAACACCAACCAGTAAACAATCCCTTCTAAAACAGCCTGGTATAATGTTTCCTGAATCTGAAAATTTGTAACTGTTTTCATGAATGTTTTTTTTTTTTTAAAGATTTATTTATTCATACAGAACTGGGGTACAGGCCAGAGATGCGGAGGGTGAGAGGCTTCACCAGAGACAGAGTGGGGAGCAGAACAGGCAGATCAACGAAGTACACTGCTGAGGGGAGCAGCGGGCGGGTCAGGAGAGGTCTGCCACACCATGTGGTCACCTCCGGGGCAGGCGGGGATCGAACTCATGGGGAAGTGGCTTTGACTTCTTAGTGCTGTGCTTCAACCCGCTGCGCCACCAAGGAGGGCCTCATGAATATGTTTTTATACAGATACCAAAACAGGTATCTGAAGGTCTCGATTATACAAAACTAATTTAATATTAATCTTACTCAAGTCATTAAGGTAACTGGCTTCTCTTATGTCCTTCAACATCCACAATGTTCTTCATTCTCAGGAAGTGTACTTATTCATATTCCCTACCTTGCTTTTTGCACTACTTCTTAATGAAAAGGGTTTTTCATATAGTCTCAGACATTACAAGTAAGTATTTCGGTTACTGAAAGATCAAAATATCTAACCTATTTATTTAGCACCATGCTAATAATTTTAGATCTACCAGTTCTGCTCATTATTATACTTGTATTTTTAACATTTGATTACTACGTGATCAACCCATACTGATATATTATTTCTTAGGCTATAATTAAGTCATTAAAATGTCTTTTGTTTAATATGCTGTAGTTTTTTAAATCTACTTTCCTAGTATCATGCAGTCCTAAACTAAACTTGGCTTAGTGAAAAGCTGACAAAAGCAAATGAAATACCGGTTTCTGAAGGGGACGGTGGTTCTCTTTCATCTAAATCATCTGCAGAAGACATAGTTCCACTGGATGGAGTCCGTGGTAGTTTTCGATGAAAGTCTCCTAAAAGAATATTGGGGATACAACTGTCAGATCAGTTACTGGAGAATTTTAGAAATGGATAATGACCCTTATTTTTGACTAATAAAGTCAGCTATTTTATTAGCTACCAAGTAAAACCTGCTTCCATTCTCAGATTTCTGGATGTAGGAAACTCTGATATTTATTCCAGGAAACAAAAGAGAATTTAAACAAATCTTACTTTTCTACATTTAAAATTAGGGACCATATATCCAAATAAGATCTTACTATTAACTTCTGATATTAAGTATTAATGACTGTAAGGTCTACAAGGACAGGGAGTATTTTCTATGTACCTCTTTGAGAGAATGGCAAGGCTGTCATTAAATGCCTGTGTAAGTTTTATGTATACAATGTAAGCTAGGCTTTTACAAAATATGCAGATACATATTTATACTAAAACTTGAGAACTACAAAAGGCTGTAGAAATTATTGAAACCAGTATTTTCTTCCCAGAGATTTCTCTTCATCTTACGCTTAAGAGGTGGGCACCCAGGTTTTACTTTGCATGTGTTCCCAATGAATGAGAAATTGTGAGGACACATGTCCCATTTTAGAACCATTTAATTGCAGAATGACTTAAGTTATTGAAATCTGCCTCCCTGTAAATCCTAGCCTTTAGTCATATTACTTCCTAAAGGAGCAAACAAGCACTCTAATATTAATTCCTTCCTTTTCACTTCCAATAATTGAGGACAGCTGACATGTCCCAAGTTTCCTCCTTCCTGGGCTAAGCACCCCTAGGTTTGCACCCAATAAGTTCCATATAATTTAGGACTGTCTTTAGATTTAGGGTCTTCATTCTCTAGAGTCAGTGTCTTCATTTCTTGTGACAGATGGAATCCCTTTGTTTCTACAAAGCTATTTTCAAGTACTTGGTTGAATGTTTAAGCTCCCTTTCCCAGGGTCTATCTTGAACAGCGTTACTTTTACAAGGGACACAGAGTAAGCCCCTGTATGCCAAAACTGTGGAGTTATTTTTAGCCTCAAATTTAAGGCATTTTTTCAAATGAATAAAAATTCTGTAACATTTAAAACACAAACACCAAAAAAGCTCTTAGAATTTGAGGTAGGTTAATTCCTATAGCCTATCTCTTGCAGTGCTAAAAACCTAGAACAAAGGTATAAAATGTATGTAAGAAGACAGGACTGGAACAGCCTTTGGTAGGAGAAAGAAGAGGAGAAAAAGAATGAATGTTCAAGTTAAGAGTCTCATGAACTCAAGCGTAACCTTCTTTCCCTGATAACTGTATAGTCTAAGGCAAGTTATCCTTTTTTAAGCCACTAATGAATAGTTTTAAATATTTACTCTGTTGGCTCTCTATGAAGTATAAAACTAACTACTGCAAAATACCTTAAAGCATGTTTGTATAAAATTAATAATCATAGGCACAAGAATTGGCATTAATGGTACTACATAGTATGAAATGAAGACAGCTACTTATACATGGATCTCAAAATAATATAATCCAGAAAAGAAATCACAAAAGAACAGAATGATTCCATCTGTTCAACATTCAGAAGCAGGAAAGCTCAACTAGATACATGCAGTACAACATTTAAAATAGCTAGGGAAATGATTCACAAAATTCAGGATGATAGTTTATTCTGGTAGAAGACTGAGCATATGTTATAAAGCAAAGTACACAGGGCAAGGGCTTCTAACTAATATGTTGACCTCTAAGGATGATGGTAAATATAGTAAAGGTTTATTTTATTATGTTTCATTATGATATACTATGTATGAATTCACATTCCTCTCTATGAACAACAGTTTATTAGAAAAATAAGGTAGTTAAAAAATATCCCCAAAAGGAGTATTTTAACTTTCCACTGAATTCTCATGCCTAGACTTCAATACAAATGTACCTGGACTTATAGATTCTGAATCCAGAGATCTAGATTCACTGCTTCCTCCAGTGCTCTCAGAGTCACTAAACATTCCAAATGTCCATGACCTTGTAAAGGAAGGACCTTTAAGAAAAGAATATTTAAAGTCAAACTTGGCTAGAGATGGATTTCATAAGACCTACTTATAAAATGAAACAAGTCAAACTTCTTTTAACAATGATGAAGTCCACTTTTAAGACAGGGATAGCATTTACACCTGTGAACAAAGTATCATAAAGTTCCAATTTGAAAGGCTGACCTTTATTTCCAGATTTGCAATCATTTAATAACCAAATTTACATAATTTGAGCTTTTATATATCACTGCTTCTCTTTAATTTGAACTACCTGTTATATCTACACTGTTAGAGCATCTGTCCTCTTCTATCTTATTAGAATTGTCAGGAAGGCGTACAACATCTTCCAGAGAGTCGGCAGGTCCATATCCAGATGTGCGAGGACTACTCATTAATTGTTTATTTACATTCCTAAGAAAAACCAAACAAACTAATCACTGAAAAGAATGACTGATAGTCTGCTTATTTTATTCTATTTTCCAAAAAAATCTGTTAAATTAATGAATGCATTGTAAATATTGAACTATATCGATTGATATTAATAAAATGCATAAGTTGTATTTATAAGGCTGAAACAGAGAAGAATAGAAAAGCATAATATATAGTAATATCTATACAATATGTGGTCTAAATCTATATACATTTGACAAAGATAAGACTATGATTTGCCATTCTCAAAGGATTTCTAATCACTGTTAAGATGAAAAGCTTTACTCCTTTACATCTTATATAAAGACATTTTAAAAAATTATTTTTAAAGATTTATTTATTTGTGCATACAGAACTGAGGTACAGGCCAGAGGTGCAGGGGCGGTGAGAGGCTTCACCAGAGACAGAGCGGGGAGCAGAACAGGTAGATTGACGAAGTACCCTGCTAAGGAGAGCAGCAGGAGAGACAGAAGAGGTCTTGCTGCGCCATGTAGATCATCTCTGGGGCCAGGAAGCGTTTGCGGCGAGCTTGCAGTATTGCATCCTAACCCGTTGTGCCACCAGGGAGGGCCCAAAAATTCAAAAATTTTAAAGTGAATTTGACTAATGTTATAAAAGATACTACTATATACCAGATATGAACTCCAGCAATAAATGTAGTATCTCTTTAAATAATCACATATATATGAATCCTCACCCATCAACTTTTTCTTCTTCGCCTGAATTTGTAGCCTTGACAAATTCACTGTACTCTTGGCCTGGGTCATAGAGCTTGGCATTATCACAGAGAGACTGTAAACTATCTGCAAGGGAGGCAGCTTGCAGGTGCTGCATCTGGAAGAGGTTAACTGTTACCTGTGGTTGGGTGCAAAAACAAAAGGCAAAGATAACTTATGTTATACAGATGCTATGTAAACATACATCTATTTCAAGCAAACAGCATCCAGAAACAGGCAGACAATGCTGAATATCATTGTGGGCATATTATGCTGCTTAGTTTTGTGTAAGGTCTAGATCTTGCAAATAATCCTGTATATATACCCAATTGACTTTAAACAGAAAAACATAACCCCAAAACCCCAGCATTTCATGATTTTAAGAAATCTGTGTTTTTGAGGATTCCAAGCTCTGTACGATGATGGTCTGACCACAATTATCTAAACTCTTAATTGAATAATTGTGTATATGGGGGGAGGCAGAGGGGAAATTCCAATCAGAGTACTATTATTTTCACTCTCACTTTATCCACCCTATAAAAACAGAAACACATTATTATTTGTAAGCATTCTATAGTACTCAATTTTTATAGTTAGGCATTATCTTGAACCTATTAAAAACAAATTCCACTGAGCTTCTACAAATGCCTAAATACATTATCACCACTCTACTTAATGGTAACAATAATAGCAACAATAGTAGCAACCGTTAAGTGCTTACAATATGAATTAATTTAGTGTTTATAAAGCCTAGGTTTTGGGTACATTATAGTAAACAGTCCTCACAGAGTTTATGTTCTCCTGAAGGTGGTGTCTGAACAAATGCAGTTAATATAATTTATGGTACTGAAAGCTGTTATTAATGCTGTACCAAGTTATGAGATATAAATAGATCTGTGTTTGCAAAAGGACCCTTTTGACACTGTAGGTTAGTGACGGCTTTTCTGGGACCTCATGTAAAATACTCAATGCAAAGTTTCAGGAAGAAGACCAATGCAGAGACTTCCCGGTGGCCCAGGGGTTAAGTCTCTTCATAACTATCACTGTTATGGCCTGAGTTAGATCCTGGCCAAGGAGCTAAATCAGCTTGGCGCAGCGGACCATGCCTGTCTTGCCCTCTGCTCTCCTCAGCAGTGTATGTCAGTACATCTGCCTGTTCTGCTCCCCACTGTCACTGGTGAATCTTCGCAACCAATGGACCTCTGGCCTACATCACAGTTCTTCCATGCAGTTCTCCTATGCATAAATGAGAAATTCTTAAGAAAAAAAAAGAAAAGACCAATGTAAGAGGCAGAACAGAAGAACAGATACCTTGGTACAAAAGTGAGTGAAAAACAAGTTGAAGCAAATGAAAAGAAGTGGAGCTTCAGTCTGAGAAGCCACCTACAGGGTGAAATCACCTAAAGCTGGTAGAGTCTAGATTTAAGGAAGTTGGTGAAAAGCTATACAAGAAGTGATTTCTTTTTAAAAGGCACTCTGGCTCCTGTGTGGGGAATGTATTTATGGGAAGTGATATTGAACAAATACCAAATTTTGAGTGGCTTAATATTATTTTAAAAACTGCCATATTTCCTTTTTCTCTTGATAATTAGATGGTATGTTAAACTTCTGATTCTAAGTCCATTGCAAGAGAGATGGGCATTTTCCTTAAGGGTAACTGAGACTCAGCAAAATAGTATTTTAAAAGTCCACATAATAGAATAGCTTATTTGTGTTCTAACTCTTTCAAGAAACAGTAAATTCAAGCTGCCTATGTAAAGTTTAAGTCCAGCAATGAGCTGTCACGAGATTCTCCAGTTAATGGTAAGCTGAACTTACTCTCTTCATACGAAACATAGCTCTTGGTTTTTTAAATTCTTTAAAATGAACTTCATGAATCTAGTTTAAAAAACATCAATTAAAGTTAAATGAATATGCTGGAATAACTGGCTCATCTGCTGAAAATTTTCAGCAGATATCTTTGGGCATTTATTAATAATAAAGACTTAAACATTTATACTGGTAAACCAATCTTATTTTCTCCTTTCCCTAAAATATTCAGTCTTCTTCCCTCACTTAACAGAAATGCTAGAGTGAGGCCTCCAGGGAGTAGATCTTACTGGATCTGCTGAGTATCTTGACTGGGGTGGCTCATAAATACCTTAAAAATCACCTTTTAGTCCCCCAATCTACTTGAGTCCGGGCCTTACTACATCTTTTCTTCCAGGTTCCCAATGTGTAGCATACACAGTGATACAGGCAAGAATCAAAAATCATAAAGGGGTTGGCCCTCCCTGGTGGCGCAGCGGGTTAAAGCACTGCACTAAGAAGCTTAAGCCACTTTCTCATGAGTTCGATCCCTGCCTGCCCCGGAGGAGATCCACATGGCGTGGCCGACCTCTCCTGACCCGCCCACTGCTCCCCTCAGCAATGTACTTCGCCGATCTGCCTGTTCTACTCCCCACTCTGTTCCTGGTGAATCCTCTCACCCTCCACATCTATGGCCTGTACCCTAGTTCTGTATAAATAAATAAATCTTAAAAAAAAAATCATAAAGGGGAAATGATGAAGTGAATAGCAGTAGAAAGCATTATCTCTTGGTCAAGGTAATACTATAATTTTGCACTTTTCTGGTACTGCCCACTGAAGCCCAAAGGACTTCCTACTTAATGCCCAGCTTTCATTGTCTACAACTAATTTTTAGTTACTCCATAGGTGCATTCATAAGTGCACATTTTTATGAGAGCTGTTGAAAGATACGTTCTTTTAAAAAGACAATATTTATTTTTGCAAAGAAGAACTGAGGTATAGGTCAGAGGTACAGGGGTAGGGGTGCTGGGTAAGAGGATTCACGAGAGACACAGTGGGAAGCAGAAAAGGCAGATATACTGAAATACACTGCTGAGGGAGCAGTGGGTGAAATAGGAGAGGTCTGTTGCACCATGTTGGTTAGCTCCCTGGCCAGGAATCAAACTCAGGCAGTGATAATGCTGAGAACTTAAATCCCTGGCCTACCTGGGAGGCCCTGCTGAAATAAATTTTCATAATCATCAAATCAATGGGAAAAGTTTCTCCAATATAATTTAGCAAAAAATATCTACTTTTGTTCAATATAATTTTCTATCTTAAATATTTTAAAGGTAAATTTATTATTGAATGCTTTTTAAAACAAAACAAAAGGTTAAGAACCCTGTTTTATTTTTCCCCATTCTTTAAAAGCTTACTGATTAAATGAAGTCTTCTGAGTGACTCTTGGTCATTTCTTCCTCCTTTTACTTTACTTAGTAATGTAACTATACCTACATTTGACACTTCTCAGCACTTCATAACTCAAGATAATTTTAAATATTCAGAAATAATCCTTGATGATCATAAGTTACAATTTTGCTGGGATGTGAGTCTGATTTTTGTATTTTCCTCACAAAGCTAAGTAAAGCTAGCTGAGTGCCTAGAATCTTTGTATCTCAGATGATATTTTGTCTACAATGATATATGTGAGAATCAAAATTTTAAAATTTTAGAAACAATCTGAGATGGTGTTTAGCCATAAGTCACCAAAAACCTCAAATTCTGCTTTTGTTAGAAGAGTAAAAATAGAAAAAGAAAACATGAAGAAGTCATGATCTTTACCTAGAATGTTAGATTTATTATGTGCTTGTAGCTACATGTGAAAAATACCACAAAATCCACCCAGAATAAGTAAAACAGATTAAACTGATTCAAATTGAACAACTGATTCAAATGAGCAACTAAGAAATTTTACTTACACACACATATACATACATACATACATACATGTATATATGTACAAAATAGCTCTGTAAACTGTCTCTACATGTTATATACCCTTATTTATATTGTGATTTTCATAAATTTGGGTATCTGTTCAGTTTGGAGAACTTCTAAACTTAGAACTTCTAAAGTCTACTTTTATACATTGACAGACACTGTTCTTCACTTTTTCAGATATGCTTTTCTCTCTCCTTACCATTTAGATAGGCATTTTAAAAAATAAAGACTACAAAATAGTGTGGCATCTCCTCTGTCACTTGTAAACTGCATGAGGAGTAAATCCTAGAAGTTGTGAGAATATTATCATTTTAATTTACAATCAGAATAGACTAGATGGCATCCAACTTGGAGGCAGGGATCAGGTTTGTAGTAACCATCTTTCATGGTGTGATCCTGAGTGATTTTTACAGTTTTTGGAAATCAGAAACCCCATTACAAAATGAAAGGGGCAAGATCAGGTCGTCGTGAATATTCCTTTTGCCTTCTAAGCTGTTTGGGATGGGACTTTGGAACTTGTATTTAATGTGTGATGTGACAGTTTAAAGCTTCTACTGCTGCCTTTAGTTCTCTTTTTATTTAAATGTGTGTGCGTGTGCATATTATCCCCCCATGTTCCGCTACGCATTTAAGTGTTATCTTCCGACTCAATAGCCCCTTCACCAGTAGCAAAAGAAAGCTTTTTTCATTTCTTGCTTTTATTCTTTGTTTCTCCAAGATCTCTTCTGAGCTGTGGACACCAAAGTTTCATCACTTTTTCACAAGATTTACCACCTTTACTCAAAATCACATTATGTGTCCTGTGTTCTAAGAACCTGGAAAGATGTTGACAGACACCTAAAACTGAAGGGAATTCTTTACAGCCAAGCAAATTGCAATCTAAACAGTGAACAGTCTGAAATCCTTATTCTTTTTTCCTTTTTATCCTTTTCCAACTTGACTCTTAATAGCAGCTGAGTAGGTATACTTTTCTAGCCCGAAGACCTGAAAGGAAGACACTTAAGAGCTAGAGGGTGATCTAACTAGATGAAATGCCTGCTGATATTTTTTAAAAATCAACATTCAATACTGGTAATAAAGAAGACCCTGAGTCACATAATGTAATAATAAAAATGTTTAAAATATAATCCAAAATTACTTTGTCATATGAAGATCCAGAAAAATCTCGACAACTCACAAAAGAACAGATATCAACACTAAGATGATTCAACTATTTGAGTTATCCAAAAAGTACTCCAAAGCAGCATTGTAAGAAATTAGGGGCAAAACAACCTAAAAACATGGAAAGAATGAAGTCTCAGCAGAGACATGAAAGATATAAAAAAGGAAAAGGAAATGATACTACTGAAGAGTATCAAAAAAAAAAAAGTTATTGGACTTATTATTTAGGGAAATGGAAATAACAAAGGAAACAATCAGTGTCACATGTCTTAAAACTTGTAAAATGTACACAAAAAAGTTATGAATCTAGAAATAACTTTTTGTACCAAAGTTATTTTATAGAGGCAAATAAAAACACTTGAGAGTAGTAAGCTTTATCTTCAGATTAATCATTGGGCTCAACTGTAACATTTAGTTTACTCAAATTCTAATGAAGAATAAATTTCATGGCTAAAAGAAGTTTCAAGAGTGAAATCTATTTTGTTAACCAAGCCAAAAAAGACAGTGGACTGACTAGAGGCAATGTCAAACTCTCATACTTTAATCGGTCAATCCATACAGGAAAGGAAGGGATCAAGATAAAAGCATATAATTCAAATCATATACCACTATTAAAAAGTGAACGTCAATTTTTAGACTCTAAATGTTTCATAAGCTCAGAAATTAAATCCCATAAGTATCATGACTAATCTGGCAGCTTTTTCTCTTTTGCAGATTAAAACTTTTTTTCCCCTCTTGCCTTCAAAAATTCAAGAAATTACTTACAGCTTTCAGAGTAAGATCACACTGAAAAACAAGTTTCCGGAGTTGAATTAAGATTTCTCTTTTCGCATTTTCTAGATCATTTCGTCTTTCTTCAACGTTTGTCACACAAACTTTATAGAGGTCATTTGCTTCTTCTACCTTTGAGAATACCCAGGGAAAAAATAAGACTGACTGCTAGAATCTAAATTCTAATACAAATACTTATGCAGAAAGCTCAACTTTAAAAGACTTTATGTATGAAATTTATAAAATAATGTTTGAAATAGAATATTTCTGAAGGTAACAATCTTTTGGTCAGCAATTCAAGGGTGCCTAATTATAATGCGCGGTCATATATGATTTATAATTAGTATAGTATCTGTTTATAAAATGTTCACTTCTACTCATATTTACCATTTTCCAGGCCATAGTCTTACAGAATCTGTTTATCAAATCATACTTCATAAATATAAAGCTCCACCGTAATCTTTTAATCAGGCCCTAGAATAAGTACACACAGTTTCCTAAATGGTGGACTTTTGAAACATCAAGTAATGAATACTAAACTACTGCCTTTTCTAAAAAAATTGCTTCCACAGACAAACCCAAAAGTTCTTAGGAATCTGCAAAACTCTCTTTGAATAGTGATTCTCAAAGATGGATCTGCAGCAGCATAAACAGACTAGGAACATGTCAGAAATATAAGATGTCTGGGTCCCCATCCTAGACTGGTTATATCAAAAACTCTATAGTTAGAAAATCTGCTTAGACAAGTCATCTAGATGATCCTCATGTATGCTGAAGTTGGATAACAAAAGCCTTAGATTATAGTTAATTCAATTTGCAAATAACAAAATGAGGTCATTACTTTTTGCAGAGCCTCCTCCTCCAGCCTTCGTTTTTTTTCTAGCTGCTTGTTGGGATTTTTTGCTAATCCACCACCACTTGAGCAAAGATGCTCCTCTTCTGCACGAAACATGGAAGATTTAGCTTTTTCATACTCATCTTGACGTTGCATGCATAACAATTTTGCTTTTTTAAGAGCTATCTCTGTTTCAAGCTGCACAGAAAAAAAAAGTGTTAAGAAGAAAAAACCTCTAATAAATCTAAATTATTAGTTAAGAGAACATTTTTAGAAAAACTACAGAGTATACATTTCTCAGGGTAGATGTTTATGCACTGCAGACAATAATATACAAATAGGTACATGAAACTACAGTATCACACTCACCATTTTATTTTGTTCCTGTTTCCAAAGTTCTTTTAATTCTTTCCTTTGTTTTTCCATTTCATTCTTCCTCCCAAGCAGCGGCTGTCAAGTGTATTATTTTTAAAAAGTAAATAAAAGCTGTTTTCTAAAGGTATGCTATTGTTTAAAAATAAAGTGTATTATAATGCAAATTTTTACCTGCACAAATTTGTTGGCTTGGAGAGCTGCGATTGTTTGTTGTAAAAGATGACTGCTCTTTATATCATTAAGAAGAGCATTGGTAAATAGAGACTGCAATGGCATAAATTCCTAAAATTTAAATTGAAAAGTAAATGTTACAATAGAAATGGCACAAAATCACAAGATGCCCTGCTACCTTTTTTTTTCAGAAAAGTGACTAGTCCTTAATATGATTATGAGAAAAATATTTAAGAAAATAATTATAATCATCAAGCTAGTTTAGCAAAATTAATAGCTAACAAGACAGTATCTGTATAAAATGATGCACTCTTTTTTTCTAAATGGGTACCTATGCAATTTAAAAGAATTTTATTTTATCAATAAAAACTAACATTTAAGGGCCCTCCCTGGTGGCGCAGCGGGTTAAAGCACTGCACTGAGAAGCTGAAACCACTTCCGCATGAGTTCGATCCATGCCTGCCCCCGAGGTGACCACATGTGGCAGACCTCTCCTGACCCGCCCGTTGCTCCCCTCAGCAGTGTACTTTCTCGATCTGCCTGTTCTGCTCCCCACTCTGTCTCCGGTGAATCCTCTCACCCTCCGCATCTCTGGCCTATACCCCGGTTCTGTATAAATAAATAAATCTTATAAAAAAAAAAACAAAAAAACTAACATTTAAGTTCTTTCCTACAGTAACCATGACATTTTCTGATTTTGCAATGCATTATCAGGAGTTAAGTCAGTTTGAACTGAACACTTACTTGTATTCCAATGTTAGTTCTAGTTGCCTCTGCCAACTTGACAATATTTCTGGTTGACTCCAACTCTGAAAAGGTTAAAGGCAGCAAGAGAAAAGATTAACTCATTTTTCCCTTCCACACTCTAAAATTATTTGCAATTCCTCATTAAAAAGTTATCAGAAATACTAGTCTATATTATGATATGATGCTATGGTTCTTAGAAGTGCTCATCAAAATTAAATAGGAAACTTCCAAAATATACTTGTTTACACCTCACCTGAGGAAGCTGGAACTTATGCTTATATATTATCCCTTTATAAGACTATTCACAGTAGATTCTGATGGCCATTTCCTATTAGAATATTTTAGCAGAAAGAGTATAAGCTTTGGGTATATTCTATGTTTTTCCAGTCATTGCTTTATGGTCTAAGCAAATGTGTTCTCTGACCTTGGGTCAATCATCTGTCTCAATTGCTTCAACTGTAAAACTCAGATAATTCCTGTCTTGCCTACTTCCCAGGGTTTTGGTAAGGATTAAATAAGATCATGGATGGGACAGCATTATGTCAAACATAAAACACTGGGGAAATAGTAACTATGAAGAAGCTCCTTATAAGTTTCCATTGTCTTCTGCTTATACATCTATTGTTACTTTTATTTCCTTGTGTAGGATTATACTTCTTTTTCACATTAGGGTATAACTTCTTTATTGGTAAAGTTACTCTATTTATCTTTATATCCCCAGATCTGTGAGTTGGCCCACAGTCATGTTCAATGTACGTATATTTATTCTAAGCATCTTTTCAATTTCCAGAAGAGAAATCGGACAATGATGGTACTCAGTATAATGAAACAGCTATTAATGGAATCATTTTACTCAGTCTATAGAAAGTGAATCACAAGACAATTTCGTTTTTTACACTCCAAAGTTAATCATATGCCCAACAGGAACAACTCACCCAAGCTAAGCTTTTTTTCAACCCATGAAACTATGTTCTTGGTATATTTTGACCATGTTTTAGCATATGACAAAGCCAAGTCTATAGACCCATTGTTCTTTAACAGCACGCTGTCTAGTTCCATGGGAGAGAAGTTTCCTGGGGGAGAAAAAACAGAGGTAAGTATACATTAAACATGATCACATCACTCTAAATGAAGAATCACAGAAATCCTAAAATCTTCAAATCACTTAAATCATAAGCTCTTTAAAAAAATCAGTTAAAACTATACAAGAGACAAATTTAGAATTAAAGGTCCACAGATTAGTTTTGAGAGAGTTTAAGTATAATATATTTTTCTATTAATATGAATTTCTATAATTCATCAACTAGTAAGTCTTATATAATTTTTGACAAGTCGCTATCATTCTGGCGGATTTTCTTTTAAGTTTCATATCTAAAACGATGATACACATGAATACATTAGGTTACTAAACAAAAAGGACTACTGAAAGTCATTGCAAAACATCTGACAGTTTTAAATAACTCAAGCATTACCTTTTTCATTGGATGAGTCCACTGAGTCCACAGAAACATTTTCAAAAGACTTAAAACATGGAAGAAAACAAATTTAAGATTAGAGCAGAAGATAACAGACCTCTGCTTCAGAAAATTTTTACTCTAACTTACTTGTTACTCTGATATAATTCCAACTAAGGAATTTCAAGTATTTAGAACTCAAAGGGACTTAAAGTCTGTTAAAATACCAGAACATTTTATAAGAATTATATAGCTTTTACAACAATATTTCTCAAGGTCCAAAGTGAATAACCTCATTGTTTACCAACAGCACTTAGTTAATGTTAGTGAATCCATTTAATACTTCAAATTCTGCAAATCTCAAAAATATCAGTCAAGAGATCATAGACACATTCTAAATAGATTGCTGTCTAAATTGAAACCAACGGCCTCTTTTCCAGCTATTTATTACATGGCAAAAATGACCTTTTACAACATTAGTATATGACAAACATTTTCTAAAAGTTTACTGGACAACTATATGCAAACTTTCTATGATAATAGAAATGTTCAATACCTGCACTATCCAGTAAAATATTGCTAATGTAACTGCACATTTGAAAAGTAGCTATAACAAGTAAAATTTTAATTTTATTTATTTTAATTGAAATAAATTTTAAAAGCTGCATGTGACAAGTGGCTGTTTAACTAGACAGAGCAGGAAAATATTACCCACAAAATGTGAGAGAACTTAAATTTGAAATATTTAGCTGAGCTATGCAGAGTATATAGGGATTAATGCAAAAGGGATCAGAGAGACCTGGATTTGAAGTCCAGCTCTATCATTTAGTAGTTATATAGCTATATGATAATGTGCTACAAATTACTCAACTTGCCCTTTTGTAAAACGAGGATAAGAACACACTTTCATAAGGCTATTTTAAAGATTAAGGATGATGTATACCTCACAGTGTCTAGTAAGTAGAAGGCACTATTAAATAGACAGCAACTATTATTTTTAAAGGATTATTTTCAAATTTCAAATGGGTATTTCATTAAATAAAGTAGTTATTAGTATAAATATGAGTGCACCAGAGAGACAAGGAACAAAATGATTCACATCTAAAATTTAAATTATTTAGAGCCTTGTTATACAGATAAAATGTTTTATTATATTTTAAGACCTAGCAAGTTTGAAAAGATAAGTTGAACAATCATGAAACACATAATAAAATTCTTGCATCATTCTGATATGGCTTATACACTAGCTGCTTTGATTCACCAATGGAAATAAATGACTCCAGAAACAGTCACATTATTTTTCTCATTACTGTAATACATAAAAGCAAACATCTTAAGTAGTCATTCATATTTTATGTCATTTTAAAGAGTGATCTGAGTTTTTTATATTATTTTGGCATAATACAAATATCTGATACACTTTCAAACATTTATTGTAATATTTTTTTGGTTTCATCATCTGTAGGAAATGATCTGGAAATGTCATCTTGAACAGGAAATGTCTCTAAATGAGTTTATATAAATAGTTACATTGGAGAGAAAAATCTAATCAAATAAAAGTAATGCTAATGTTCCTTTGCAGTTTAGCTGAGATCAAATGTGAAAACATTATTTCCAATATTCTATACACACGGCTCACATCCTACCAGGTCACATCAATCCTCTGGCATAACTATAAGAATGCTTTTAGGGAAAGTTAAAACTTACAGGTTTGTTAGTAAAAAAAAAAAAAAAGGCAGGATATGTTAAAAGTTCACCAGTCTTTACTTCTTGCACTACTTTAAGCTTCTATCAGTTTTTAAGATCTATGTATAACAAGGTTAAGAGGAAAAAATAGGTTAATATTATTTTTTAAAAATTTGGATTGCATAGCATGTAAATTAATTTCACAAACCACTATAAAATTATCACATATGTTGTTTTGAAATGATAGTTCAACTTTGAAGGTTCACTTAAATTTTTATTCCTGAAAATGACAATAACTAATCTTATTTAAAATGACTGATTTTTTTGTTATAATAAATTCTAAATTCAAAAACTATCAATGTTGAAATTAAAGACATTTTTGAAATATCAAGTTAAAAATGCTGAAGTCTTTGCTTTCATACAGACTTGGCTTACCTTACTTTCCCGAGAAACAGGCAATCGCAATAATGAATCATTGCTTACATCTCCCATGAGGAAGTTTGTAAGACTATTCAGAGGAGTTAAAAAAAGAAAAGACAAAAAAAAAAAAAGACAAAAGTCATTAAACTGCGTGGTCATTCAACATGTCATCTAAAAAAAAAAAAGCTTTTTTAAAGTAAGAACCTTGAAATAAACACATAGGAATTCACACACATAAAACATAAACTCAACCACAAGCAATTGGATTTTGCTTTCACAGTTATTAAATAGTAATAGAGTGGCATAGAATGTAGATTTTCCAAAGTTGTACTTTTTTTTTTATTAATACTTTATTTTCCAAGTATCTCCTGAATTAACATAGAAATCTTTCACTGAAACACCAATGCCCAAGTATCTTGAAAGGACAATTTTCTACTTACATATTCCCAAAGGTAAAGGCCAAGGTTTCAATAGAAGAAAACACTTCTCTAAAGAGATCATTTTTGTTTTCTTCATTAACTTCTGCAAAATTTACAGCTATAGGGAAAAGAAGGTTACAATACATTAGGGAGCAAGAATTTTGAATGCGATTTATACAAAGTCATTTAATCCTTTAAAAATCTACCACCACTTCTAGAAACATTAGAAGATCCAGAAACTGAAAAACCTAATAGACAAATAGGTTAGGATATTCAAGTTCTTTATAAAAGAAACTGAAAAGAATGAGCATGCATAAAAGTAGCTGGCATTCCAAACTAACTGCCCCAAGCATTACATAATCTGACACATCTTAAAAGTGACTCCATGTGAAATCAATTGGTCTTAGAGTCACAAAGTCCACATTATACCAGAAAGCTCTCATTAAGAGTGAGTGGTCTGTACTATTTTCTTTTGTTTACTGCTTGCTGGCATTTTTAAAATAAGAGTTAAACTACTGTGGCTCACTATTTTTCACTATGCATCACCAATTATTGAAGTCATACATTCTACATAGTATGAAAACACCTATATACAAAACATATTACACAAAAAGCATGTAATGATTTATAAATGAACTATAATCTCATTTGTTATAGGCTCTTGGATTTTGAGATTCATGCTAATTGACATAGTTTTTATTTTCTAACCATATAGATAGTCTAACATTTTATATTTTGGTACAGCAAATTGTGAAATATATTGGACAAGGATTCTTATTATAACTTCTGTATGTACCTCAATTAAAAGTCCAGATGATTTTTTAAATTAAATTTATTTATTTATTCAGAAGGATACCTGCACCTCTGTTTATTGTAGCTCCTTTACAATTGGTAAAGCCTGGAAACAACCCAAATGCCCCTAAGTAGATGACTGGATTGAGAAGATGTGATATTTATACACAATGGAATACAATGCAGCAATCAAAAAGGATAAAGTAATGCCATTCACAGCAAAATGGATGGAGCTGGAAGAAATTATGCTCAGTGAAATAATCAGAAGGACAAAGAAAAATATCAGATGGCTTCACTTATAGGAGGAATATAGGGGAACCAAATAAGACATCGGCGGGAAATAATAATACAAAATACAACACAACAAAACAAACCAAATAATGATAAACCAGAGACATCCTGTAGAGGAGGAAGGGGAAGAGGGATGGGGAGAAGGAAGAGAGGAGTACAGGGGACTATGGTGAAAAGTACAGGTGAATTTTAAAGAAGACATGAAGGCACAATTTTTTAAAGTAACCCATTCTACTTAAGTTGAATTTAAGGCTTTAACTGGCTTGCTATACCCCACCCTCCCAGGGGTCCTTGACAATAAAGGTAAGGAAACCAAGTGGACAGGAAGCCATCTTTTGCTTTAAAACAGTTGTTATTAAGTGTGGCTAATATTAGAGATACTAAAGAGTTTGTAAAATAAAGACTGGGTTCCAGGTCCAGGTTCAGACTTTACAGGTCTGTGAAATATCATTCAAAAGCTCTCTTAGGTGTTTCTAACATGAAACTGTCATTGCAATTCTTTACTGGAAATCAAGGATTCCTAAGCAGGGATGAATTAAATCTCAAGTCTTATAAGTCTCATAAAATTACATTTACTGTATAAGCCTTTATAGATCGAAGCAGCTTAAATTCATACTTTTCATCAGATTCTGCTAAATATCCATGATACAAACAACCTAAGAACCACCATTAAGTAAACCCCATTTTTATTTATATTATTTTAAGTAATTTTTTTATTAATTCTACTCTGGCCAAAATGGAAAAACAGGCTTATACTTCTGCTGGAAATGAAAAGAAACCTGTCCCCAAAAGTGAAATAATGGTTTTCGAGGCTTTGGCTATCAGGCCAAAAGGACAAACATGCTGATAAGAAAGAAACAAATACTGTAAGCTCTACAACTGCCCTGCTTACTGCCTACTACTGCATAAAGCAAATTACTGAGAAAAGAAAACAAGGGGGGGGATATAGTTATTTCAGAATGAGGAGTCAATTTATCCAAAGGGCGTATTTCTATAGATATACACACAAAATAAACAGCTTCTAAATGCATAAAGCAAAACCCAGAGTCAGAGGTTTCAATAACTGACATCCATTAGAAGGAAAGTCAGTAAAGATATAGAAGTACTATCAGCCAACTTGACCAGACAGACATTTATAAAATATTTCACCCAACAGCAGCTAAACATATGTTCTTTTCAAAAAGCATGTCAAATGTTTACGAAGATACATATTATCGACCACAAAGGAAGTTTCAATGGGTTTTAAAGGATTTAAATTAAACAAAATAAGTTCTGTAATTACACGGAATGAAATGAAAAGTAACAGAAAGATCTCTAGAAAATCCCTAGATGTTTGCAAACTAAATGCACTTCCAAATAACCTGTAAGTCAAAGTAGGGGGGAAATTAGAAGTATTGTGAACAGAATGTACATGAAAATTTTACACATATCTAAATTGGTAAAAGGAGGTACAGAAAGGGAATCATAAAAGAACATAAATTATCTGGACTGCAATAAAACATGTCAAAAGTTATCATAATGTATTTTTTATATATATATACACACAGTTTATACCTATCAATTATACCTCAATAAAAGAGACTTCTAAGTAATATATATAAGCAAAAATGTCAAGGCTAATTATATTTCTAACTTTGTTAGAATTTAAAGAAAAAAAAAACACTATCCAAACTTCTGTAACTTCTTTTTCAGCACTAAATATAGCTAGCGGATTAAAAAAGTACATTTCTAAGTAGTGAAAAAACTATTATTCAAACATTCACCCTTCCCTCCATCCCTACCTGAATGATGTTACAGCCATCTTATGAAAGTTCCTATCACTGCCCTTCCCTCCACTTCAAAATGGTCCTATCATTCCAGTATTCTTTCTCTTTTTTGCTCCTATTCAATATTTCAGAAAAAAGTCTTTGCCTCCTTTCCAATGAATCTTCCTAATCTCTCCTACATTCTATAAAATCCTAAGCCATTAACCTTCCCTTATAGCTTCATGATCTCTTTCCTATTCAGTTGACTTTGTAAGTTATTAACAAATATTCTAAGTAAAAATATTCATTTTAGTATATTTACTCTTAATGCTACCATTCAGTTTAACATTTCTCCACTGCCAAATCTCTATGAAAAAGTGATGACTAAATTCACAAAGATTTGACTTTTATATAGTATAATGTCATCAAAAGTTGAAAAAGTTGTTCTATAACATGCTAGACAGTAAATATTTTAGACTTTTCAGGCCATATAATGTTTCAAATACCAACTCTGCCAAAAGGAGCCAAACATAAATAAATGCCATCCAACAATAAATGATTGTGCACCCTTACAAAAAATGGTAGCAGGGCCGACTTGGTCCCCTGACTAGTTTGCTGGCCCCTGGTTAAGGGGATGGGTTCCAACATCAGTCCACTTAAATTACATTCTGTTTCTTACTGGGATAAGTAATTTAAACTGCTCTGTGCTTCAATTTCCTCATTTATAAAATGGGGATAATAATACACTTCAAGAACTGTTGTGGAATAAATAAACTTAGACCAGAGCCTGTTACATAAAACTATATTATGATTTTCACTCAATACTGCTATATAATTCTGTCAATAATAACCTCCTATTAATCAAAATTGAAGGCCTTTTTCTTCTAAGCTTTCATGCTACTTGACTATTCTGCAACTTTAAACAATTCTTCCACTTAATATGTATACATCTTGGAAAAGCCTCTATGTTCAAGCTTGCTTATCTGCAAAATGAGAGCTGATGTAACAATAGCACTGACCTCAACAATGTGCTATGAGGATTAATGCAATAATCCATGCAAAGAGCTTAACAGGGTCTGGCACACAATAAGTACATGATAAATAAGACCAGCTGTTATTATTATTACAAATATTAATGATCTCCTTCCACTTTAAGTATTTGGCTCTCTTAGAAGCATTATGTTATAGTGACTAGAAGTAAAGACCTAACTTCAGTTCCGGGCTTAAGTTCAAATCTGATCTCTGCTACCTTTTGTACTACTCTGGATATATTACCTAACTTTCATATCTTCTTATGTAAAACAGCACACTTCTGACAGGTTGAAAGACTAGGGGAACAAATATTTGGTGCCTGAGCATGTTAATAATGGGCACAATCGTGTATCTACCTGTGAACAACTCATACTTCCCAGTCATTCTCACTTCACCTGCCATTCTCATCTTAGCTTCCTCAACCCTCACTGGATCTTGTAAACTACCTGTCTTGTTTTAATCTCTGAGTTCTAGACCCACATTTCCAATGCTTGATGTATTTCCAACCATTCTTTCCAATCTTTACCCACTAGTATTGCGATCTCAACTGAATGCTGGCTTCTCTCTGCTCTATCCCTCCATATCTACTGTTTTCCTGACATTCACTAAGCTCATTTGCTTTACTTTCAAAATATCTGTAATTTTTTTTTTTGCCTTTTTTTCTATTACCACTGCCAATGACTTAGCTCAAAATGCCACATTTTACACCTCGAGACTGGGCTATTTAACAACCTGCTAATGTGTGTCTTTGTCACCACTTTCACACTATTAGCTGCTCGTCAAATTCTCAGTGATTCTCTATTCTACTTCATATTTTAAAATGCTGGTCACAATCCACAAATTTGATGACATAAATCAGGGCTCACATTTTGAAACCACTGAACTGAAAGATATAATGGAAGAAATATTACCATTTGCACAGAAAGAAATATATTTGCTGGGGAAACAAAGCTACAAGATTTATATAATTAAAACTTGAAGCTGCTTCTAAACAATGCAAAGACAACCTGAAATGCTACTATAATACTGTAACATAACAAATGAAATGCACACTATATTTTTAGAAATGCTAAATATGTAAATCCATCTTAATTTATTACTTTTACACTTTAGAAATTTAACTCAAATCACCCACAAAATACCAATAGATATTTTTGAAACTATACTTGTCAATTCAAAAATCCTAATGAAAAAAACAAAACCTTAAACAAAAACAGTAATGGAAAGGGGAGCTCTCCCTACCAATACTAAAATATAT